GCGATGCGAAATGAAAGGGCGGATTATGCGATGCGATTGGTCCAAATTATGCCCCCGATGCTCACCATACACAAAATGATAGCAGAGTATAAGTGACATGAACCATATTGTGATAATTTTGAAATTTTTTGAAATTTCAAACTATTGAGAACTTTATCTATATAAACAGAATCTCGCTTCACATAAAAGAGCCTTTCTTTTATCACGTGATAGTTTTTTAATATCTTTGTATCACGGCTTTTTTGCATTTTTCTGTTCAAAGATTTATATAATTCTGAATAAAAGATCAGTTATAAATATTTTTTTGAAAATTATATAGTATTAGCAAAAAGTTTTATAAAAAAAGATATTCTGAAAGTGATTAAGTTTTAATAGAAAAATCAATGTCCCGTTTCCTGGTAAAGATCCCAACTTATTAGTAAAAAGATACTACGTAGAAGAGATAAGTTAACATTAAAATATTAACTGTTATATCAGTAGCATAACTTTTAATTACCAGTAACTATTACTAAGAGTACGTAATAAAATAGAATCTAAAACTTGTAAATTACGGAACTAACTTAAAGTTATTCTTGTTATATCTATAATGATAAATTACTGGTTTCGATTTTTGTTGCACGAACACGTGTATATTACACAATTTATTCCTGTAACCTTTCTCAAATTTTAAACATACAGTATTTATGTCTGATTTCAGAACAGTTTTTATATGTACGGTTTCTTAGTATTATCAAAATTTCATGAGCAAGAAACTTATTTCTTTGCTTTAAAAAATTCTTAAAATGAATTCTAATATATGGCGTAATTTTATAGCGAATGCTGATAAAGCGGCCAATACGGCTATACATGCTGTTGGGCCTGTTTTTATCGTTCTTGCGATCGGTCTGATTGGACTTGCTATTATTGTATATTTTACTGTAGTATTTCCGTCATTTTATACATGGGACGAAGATTATATTTGGACAAAAATCTATTATTATATGGGTTTAATATTTAGTATATATATGATTATCTGCATCTTTTTTCATTATTATATGGCTGTGAGAACAAAACCTGGTGGTGTATTAAATGCTGGCACTGGACAATCGGTGAGCGGTAACGTTATTTAATTTGAATTTGTAAAATTTTTTTTCCTTTTAAATTTAATTTAATTTTTTGAAATAATTTAAGGAATCCGATGATCCAACATTACAAGGTTTATTTCTTGAATTGGAGGAATATCAAGAATTTCCAAAAACATGCAAAAAATGTAATAATTCAATTATTATATAATTTTATTTATACTTTCATTTCTAATAATTTTTTTAAAAAATATTTTAATACTTATTTTTTTTTTTTAATATTTTAAAAAGGTCACCTTCCAAAACCTGAACGTGCTCATCATTGTTCTGTTTGTAGGAAATGTGTGTTAAGATTCGATCATCATTGTCCTTGGATAGCGAATTGTGTTGGATATTTTAATCATCGTTACTTTTTATTATTCATGACTTATTTGGTTATTGGATGTTTTTATTTCGCGATTGTTGGATGGAAACCATTTTTATTAAGTTTGGAAGAAACTGGGGTTATTATAATTAAATTTATCGTGAAATATAAAAATAGATTAATAAATACCTAATGATTAATTAATATTTATTTATTTATTTTTTTATTTTTTTTTAGTGGGATTGGTGGATGCCACGTCCATATATGGCTTTATCATTCTTACTTGCGGTAGCAATTGGTTTGGCTCTGGGTATGTCTTAAATTTATCATCTTTCTTAATGTGTTGTAACCTGTTTATATATTAAAAATAGGTTGTATTATAAATTGTATATAGGAGGAATGTGTTCATGGCATTATTATCTAGTAAGTCAAATTTACTGCCTTAAATAATGGTTTAATAAATTCATTTATTAATTAAATTTTGTCTATGTATAGATAATGACAGCACAGACAACAGTAGAATTTTATAACAATCAATATGCAAAGCGTGCTGCAAAAGCAAAAGGAGAGGTAATTGAAGTTTAACAAAAGTAATATATATGTTATATATATGTTTTGAGATATTTTTTCCCCCTTCAATTAGGTATATGTAAATCCATACGACCTCGGGCCTATATTAAATCTGTGTCAATTTTTTAATGTTGGCCACAATTAGTAAGCATTTCTTGACTAATTTTGATTAAATATAGAATTTAATGACTTTAATTGCTAAATATTATTTTACTTTTATTTTTTTTTTTTTTTTTACTATTATCCAGTAAATAGTAGGTACATTAGGTTTAAATTTTTTTTATCGTTTCTGAAATTGGTTTGATTAAGAAAGTCTTTATAATTTTTTGTCGGTTAAAAGTCCAATATATACGATATTTCTACCAATACCAATATTACCGCCAAGTAATGGTAAGGTTTGGGAAAAAAATGCGATGAGTTATTCAAATGTTCAAACTGAAATTTCTGAAGATACTGAATAAATATAGAAGAAATAATGAACGGGTGAGTTCATTTACGAATTTTATTATATTTCATCTTCCTTTATATCCAATAATGAGCATTCATTTATATTAGAAAACTGTTTTTATATACAAAACTTTTTAATCAAAGTTGAAGTACGATATAAAGTTAATTGTTACTGTAAACATTTGCGGATTATTTTGTATTACACGAGTGTATATATTTGATAGATAATTTCAAAGCCTGCAGATAATTATAACATGATTAATTACACTACGTATTGTTTATACAATTTTTTTTTTTTTTTTTTGTATAAATGTTATATTTTTATTATATTTCTTGTTTTTTGAGATTTATTTTGTTAGTACCGTATGTACGTAATTTATTAAAAATTTATCAAGATAATAATGCTACGTAACGCTAATCTAGATGTAGGGTTGTAAAATTACAATTTAGAGTGGTTTTAGACAAAATTAGTTAATTCTGGCTCAAACGACCAGGATTCCGAAACTATTTCGGCAAGCTGTAATAGTTTCGATAATTTCGGTCGCATGCAAATTCCCGATCTGGAAAGTTTGGGGACAGATGTTGATCTTACCACAGATAAAATTTGAAACCGTTTTGTTTTTTTTTTTTAATGTTAAAAAAAATGTCTTATACTTTTCAAAAGTTAAAAGTGACGTTTCCTTCAGAATATGTAATTCATGTGGAACTTAATAACACCGAGCAATTAAA